GCTTCCCGAACACACACACACAGACAGCCTCTCGACAATATGCGTTTTTGCTGGCTGTAGCAGCGCCGTAGCCCTGCTATGGCGCTGCACAGCAAAAACGCATGAAAAGGCATTTGGAGACATTTACTAAGCCATCAACCTGATTCACGAGTTTGTTGAGACGCGTCGTCTTTCCTGCATCCAAAACGCTATCTGTTGCATTTTTTGCGAATTTTTTGCTTACTTTGAATTCAGTTCATTTGCTCGCTTATTTGCTTTCTCATCTAAACTGTTGTGCTAAATAGCACGGTTTAACAGCTTCCATCAAAACTATTGCTCCCCCAGTGCTGTTAGCCCTCCTTCATTCACCTGCCTCGCTGTGCAAGCCATGAATTAGGCACAAAGAATTTTGTTTTGCTCGCAGATTTGGCATCCATTTCGCTGATTCTAGCAATCTTCCAACCAAATTAATTTCAAACTTTGCTACGGAGATGTGAGGACGTGGCGAAAGCAGATAGTGTGAAACGCTGCTTTCGATAAATGGTACATTATTCCACACTGTTAATGAATATTTTTTGACATTTGATAAACCCTGCCGTGGAAAATTTGTTCATTATGCATTTTGTGCTGCAGCAGTTGCACAAAACGCAAACTGTCAAGACCGTGTGTGTGTGTGTGTATCCCGAGTGTGGTTTATTTATATTTTCTCTAAGTGCTAAATCGGTCCAAGCATACAACGCGGCTTGTCGTACAATTCCGTCCCAGCAGCGTCTAGGTCATTGCAGTCGTACTCTAAACAGTTTGAATGGTGATGGTAACAATGATGATTCCCCTAATTATACCCGCAAAAGGGTTCGGTTTTTACTGAACCACAAAGCGCGGACTATATAAAGTTAGCCTCGCTTTACCAAAGTTTTGAGGTAAATAAGCTCACAGATGCGTCACTGCAGGGATCCGCTGTACCAGATGACGATTGGACAACGTGAAACATTATCATTTTACGACATCAAAATGGTCAATCAGGCCTACTGCAAAGGTGCCCGTTTTTGACACTTTTTTTGCTCGACTGTGAAGCTGCTCGATGTTTCACTATGAAATACTTGGCACTAGTGAGAGAAGTTAACTGTTTTTTTCGTGCTTTTGCTCACTAGCAGTAACGTAACAAAGATGAAGTAAGACTTTGACTTTGTTAAGACTTTCCAACTGAGAATTAGTTGTTGCAGGACATTGCAAAAGAAAAGACGAATGCAAAAATGGTGGCTATTTGAATCCCAGCAACTGTAATGTATGCCTCTGTCCAAGTGGCTTTGGTGGCGCATTGTGTGAAAAACAAGACATCACAAATTGTGAGTATGTTTTCGACACACTAGCAGTGATATCGTTAACAAAGTGTCAGTAAGCAGTGGAAGTAGTGAACAATAGCGATTGGCACAGACTGATTAACGAACGAATGGGAAGTGAGGATTCCGCTACTGTGGGCTGCGAGAATTTTAACAAAATATCTTCAATCTCATAAATTTAGGCTGACTAAGCGATGTCTCAGTTTGGAAAAAAGGGGAGTTCTGTGCACATCTTACTTATCTACAAAAATTTTTAAAAGCGCAGAAAGAATGAGAATGAACGACCAAGATCAAAAAGAAATACAGACGGACAAACTACTGTAACAGGAAATGCACATTTCATCGGAAAATTTTTGACTGGAAATTCAAAAAAAAATTGCTGAGTATTCAAAAAAATTTTTTTAAAAACTGGTCAATTTATTGTCAGACTGTCTGGATTCCCTTTCCTCATTTAGCTTTACTAGTAAAAGTACGAAAATTGTTCGAAAGCTTTTAAAAGAATGAAAGGAAGATAACCATAGGCGGATCCAGGACGGTCTTCTGGAGGGGGGGGG